TCGGGGTATGGAGGAGGAGGTAGCTGGAGTAGTGGGGGGCGTGGTGGAGGTAGATGATGGTGCVCACGTCGAGAGAGAGGAGGGCGTGCTGCCATCAGAGGTTGAGAGAGARGACGATGTGGTGAGGATGCAGGAGGCGACGATGAGGGACGATGAGGGAGAGGAGGCTGTGGCAGGGGTAGACGAGAGCGTGGCTGGGGTAGATGATGGTGCTTCCCAGGTTGAGATGGAGGAGGATGTGGTGAGGGCAGATGCTGTTGCGTTGGTTGGGGGAGCGGAGGGTGTGGTAGGGGGGGACGTCGCCCATGGTATAGGAGAGGGGGGCGCCCACCTTGACCCAATTGTCCAGCGTTTCGTCGATGACGAGATGGGTCCCACACTAGCGGGGTTGACCCCGGGCACGAGGAGGGCACTGGGGGCGTCGCCATCAGGACAGAGGGGGGCGTCAGGGCTGGGGATGGGGGATTTCATGGACATGTCTTTGGGGGCTCCGCCCACCCCTGCTCACGCAGAGAGAGAGGATGTGGCGCGTGCCCTAGCGGCCGCTAGGTACTCCACACAGGAGATCGAGCAGGCATTTGCAGGACGCTCCGGGAGAGAGACAGACTCGCTTCAGCAGGGGTGCGAGGAGGTAGTAGAGCAGCCACAGGAGGAGCGTGAGGATGCACCCCCTGCGGATATCCACGGAGGTAGTAGTTCGTTGGTACCGTTCACGGGCTCGCAGATGACGACGACGATGCGGCCAGTTCGACCGTGTGTGCAGGGATCAGGTTCTGGGGAGGAGGCATTTGTTAAGGTACCACCGGTCATAGTCGTAGATTTAGGATCTGAGGCAGTTCTTCATACAGCGCTTATTGGGCGGCGAGCTCCTCAGGATACAACTCGCCCATTGGATTTCGCGGAGCTCGCACGGGCTGCTGTGCGTGACGTGACGCAGCGGGAGGACACCGACCCTAGCAGACCACTTATGCCACCTCCTCCTCCGAGATCACGTCACAGCGATTCCCCCTCGACACCAGTCGGTCGGCCCCCCAGTTCACCATCCACGCCCACCAGACCCAGGGTTCGTGACATGACGGCCGTAGGGAGCCTCCCTCTTGACACGTCGCTATTCGGGAGGACGGATATCGACCTGGAGTCCGTACGTCGGGTCACAGTGCACACTGCACGACAGCAGCCAGGTTTGGGTGCGGCTGACACCGGGAGGGGTGCGCCAAGGGAGCTCATGATGGCAGTATCTCAGTCGCGAGATGTTCGCGGGGTTGGACAACCCGGGTGTACCTTGCAGGCCGCTTTGGTAGCAGCAGCATGAGCTGTGCGTGAGCAGACATCGCACAGGAGCGGAGTCGCTCGTACGAGTTTCATGCCTCAGATGATGCCTGCCACGGGGGATGCCGCATTGGAGGAGTCTTCTGGAGCCGAGGGGTTGGAGATGCCGCGCGGTTCTCGTCGTGAGAAGACAGTCGCAGAGGTGACTCAGGTGAGTGCTAGGCTTGTTCGGGTGAGGACGGGGGCTGCCCATGTGACCGTGGTGGAGGACGATCCCAAGACGGAGCTTGCACGTGAGGAGGCCCCACAGGAGGGTGACGAGTACAGGGACGACGAGGAGCGTGAGGAGGAGGAGAGCGACAGCGGGGATGATGACAGCTACCACGACGACGACGACGAGCCCTCCCCTCCACCGCGACATGGTTCTCGTAGACGACGTCGCTCTCGTAGAGGACATGATGACGTAGACGACCCGTCCCCTCCAGGGCGACGGGAGACGAGGAGTCAGTGGAGGCAAGGGTCATCCGTTGCGACAACGCCAAGGCGAGGAAGTGTTTCGTCGACACGCAGCACGAGTGGGGCGAGGCAGAGAGGCAGTGGTAAGGGGAAGGGAAGTCAACGGTATTGACAGCTTCGTTCCCCTTCCAATGCTTCGACGACGCCCTTATGTTGTTTGTGCTTAGTGTTTTGACGTTTTTGTATATTGTTTAGGATGATGTACATATAGTTCGGTTTTAGGGACTTCGGACCACTTCATGGACTTCAGCATGCAGGTGGACTGGGTAGTGTCGTCGACAGTGTTTGTTTGTTTCGTTTTTCGGTTTATGTACGACATTTTCATATTGTTTTCTAGTTATTGGGTTTTTGTTAGAGGTTGGACTTCATTCTAACTTGTCGTTTTACGTAGATGTTTGTTAGGGTTTTATTTTCAGCTTTGTTAGTTAGCGTCCCATCGGTGTACGACCCTGTGCGACTCGGCACGAGTGTCGACGACACATTGTACCATGTGAGATGTATTTCATATTGGACTCCTATGTGCAACTTCGCCGGCACTTTGGCATGACTTTTGTATGACATTTCATGACTACTTTGTTTTCATTGTAGTTTCATGTTCTTCTATGCGGTTGTT